GGCTGTACCTGTTGGAATTGGAGCCGTTCAGCTTTGTTGCCCAGAGCTGGGCCTCTGTGCCCGTCCCACGCGGCTCAGGGGTTGAAAACCGGCTGTCTCGGGGCTGTTTCTAGCTGCGCGTGCCCAGAGAGGAACCCAGGCCCTTGGGGGCGGGCTGTACCTGTTGGAATTGGAGCCGTTCAGCTTTGTTGCCCAGAGCTGGGCCTCTGTGCCCGTCCCACGCGGCTCAGGGGTTGAAAACCGGCTGTCTCGGGGCTGTTTCTAGCTGCGCGTGCCCAGAGAGGAACCCAGGCCCTTGGGGGCGGGCTGTACCTGTTGGAATTGGAGCCGTTCAGCTTTGTTGCCCAGAGCTGGGCCTCTGTGCCCGTCCCACGCGGCTCAGGGGTTGAAAACCGGCTGTCTCGGGGCTGTTTCTAGCTGCGCGTGCCCAGAGAGGAACCCAGGCCCTTGGGGGCAGGCTGTACCTGTTGGAATTGGAGCCGTTCAGCTTTGTTGCCCAGAGCTGGGCCTCTGTGCCCGTCCCACGCGGCTCAGGGGTTGAAAACCGGCTGTCTCGGGGCTGTTTCTAGCTGCGCGTGCCCAGAGAGGAACCCAGGCCCTTGGGGGCGGGCTGTACCTGTTGGAATTGGAGCCGTTCAGCTTTGTTGCCCAGAGCTGGGCCTCTGTGCCCGTCCCACGCGGCTCAGGGGTTGAAAACCGGCTGTCTCGGGGCTGTTTCTAGCTGCGCGTGCCCAGAGAGGAACCCAGGCCCTTGGGGGCGGGCTGTACCTGTTGGAATTGGAGCCGTTCAGCTTTGTTGCCCAGAGCTGGGCCTCTGTGCCCGTCCCACGCGGCTCAGGGGTTGAAAACCGGCTGTCTCGGGGCTGTTTCTAGCTGCGCGTGCCCAGAGAGGAACCCAGGCCCTTGGGGGCGGGCTGTACCTGTTGGAATTGGAGCCGTTCAGCTTTGTTGCCCAGAGCTGGGCCTCTGTCCCCGTCCCACGCGGCTCCGGGGTTGAAAACCGGCTGTCTCGGGGCTGTTTCTAGCTGCGCGTGCCCAGAGAGGAACCCAGGCCCTTGGGGGCGGGCTGTACCTGTTGGAATTGGAGCCGTTCAGCTTTGTTGCCCAGAGCTGGGCCTCTGTGCCCGTCCCACGCGGCTCAGGGGTTGAAAACCGGCTGTCTCGGGGCTGTTTCTAGCTGCGCGTGCCCAGAGAGGAACCCAGGCCCTTGGGGGCGGGCTGTACCTGTTGGAATTGGAGCCGTTCAGCTTTGTTGCCCAGAGCTGGGCCTCTGTGCCCGTCCCACGCGGCTCAGGGGTTGAAAACCGGCTGTCTCGGGGCTGTTTCTAGCTGCGCGTGCCCAGAGAGGAACCCAGGCCCTTGGGGGCGGGCTGTACCTGTTGGAATTGGAGCCGTTCAGCTTTGTTGCCCAGAGCTGGGCCTCTGTGCCCGTCCCACGCGGCTCAGGGGTTGAAAACCGGCTGTCTCGGGGCTGTTTCTAGCTGCGCGTGCCCAGAGAGGAACCCAGGCCCTTGGGGGCGGGCTGTACCTGTTGGAATTGGAGCCGTTCAGCTTTGTTGCCCAGAGCTGGGCCTCTGTGCCCGTCCCACGCGGCTCAGGGGTTGAAAACCGGCTGTCTCGGGGCTGTTTCTAGCTGCGCGTGCCCAGAGAGGAACCCAGGCCCTTGGGGGCGGGCTGTACCTGTTGGAATTGGAGCCGTTCAGCTTTGTTGCCCAGAGCTGGGCCTCTGTGCCCGTCCCACGCGGCTCAGGGGTTGAAAACCGGCTGTCTCGGGGCTGTTTCTAGCTGCGCGTGCCCAGAGAGGAACCCAGGCCCTTGGGGGCAGGCTGTACCTGTTGGAATTGGAGCCGTTCAGCTTTGTTGCCCAGAGCTGGGCCTCTGTGCCCGTCCCACGCGGCTCAGGGGTTGAAAACCGGCTGTCTCGGGGCTGTTTCTAGCTGCGCGTGCCCAGAGAGGAACCCAGGCCCTTGGGGGCGGGCTGTACCTGTTGGAATTGGAGCCGTTCAGCTTTGTTGCCCAGAGCTGGGCCTCTGTGCCCGTCCCACGCGGCTCAGGGGTTGAAAACCGGCTGTCTCGGGGCTGTTTCTAGCTGCGCGTGCCCAGAGAGGAACCCAGGCCCTTGGGGGCGGGCTGTACCTGTTGGAATTGGAGCCGTTCAGCTTTGTTGCCCAGAGCTGGGCCTCTGTGCCCGTCCCACGCGGCTCAGGGGTTGAAAACCGGCTGTCTCGGGGCTGTTTCTAGCTGCGCGTGCCCAGAGAGGAACCCAGGCCCTTGGGGGCGGGCTGTACCTGTTGGAATTGGGGCCGTTCAGCTTTGTTGCCCAGAGCTGGGCCTCTGTGCCCGTCCCACGCGGCTCAGGGGTTGAAAACCGGCTGTCTCGGGGCTGTTTCTAGCTGCGCGTGCCCAGAGAGGAACCCAGGCCCTTGGGGGCGGGCTGTACCTGTTGGAATTGGAGCCGTTCAGCTTTGTTGCCCAGAGCTGGGCCTCTGTGCCCGTCCCACGCGGCTCAGGGGTTGAAAACCGGCTGTCTCGGGGCTGTTTCTAGCTGCGCGTGCCCAGAGAGGAACCCAGGCCCTTGGGGGCGGGCTGTACCTGTTGGAATTGGAGCCGTTCAGCTTTGTTGCCCAGAGCTGGGCCTCTGTGCCCGTCCCACGCGGCTCAGGGGTTGAAAACCGGCTGTCTCGGGGCTGTTTCTAGCTGCGCGTGCCCAGAGAGGAACCCAGGCCCTTGGGGGCGGGCTGTACCTGTTGGAATTGGAGCCGTTCAGCTTTGTTGCCCAGAGCTGGGCCTCTGTGCCCGTCCCACGCGGCTCAGGGGTTGAAAACCGGCTGTCTCGGGGCTGTTTCTAGCTGCGCGTGCCCAGAGAGGAACCCAGGCCCTTGGGGGCGGGCTGTACCTGTTGGAATTGGGGCCGTTCAGCTTTGTTGCCCAGAGCTGGGCCTCTGTGCCCGTCCCACGCGGCTCAGGGGTTGAAAACCGGCTGTCTCGGGGCTGTTTCTAGCTGCGCGTGCCCAGAGAGGAACCCAGGCCCTTGGGGGCGGGCTGTACCTGTTGGAATTGGAGCCGTTCAGCTTTGTTGCCCAGAGCTGGGCCTCTGTGCCCGTCCCACGCGGCTCAGGGGTTGAAAACCGGCTGTCTCGGGGCGAGGCTTGTCTTTTTTCGTCTCTTGAAAAAAACCCTCAACTTTCACCATGTTTGTTGTGGTTTATAATAATGCTCATTATTATAATCTCATGTAGTACTATTCACTTTGACTATTTGTTGTAATAGTCTTATTAACATAGAAGAAGAAAAATTGAGGAGAATAAATGACTTAGGATATGGATAGGTAAACATAGACCCTTGTACAGGAGTCACACCTAAGGAATTCCAGATTTTCTGGCATCTCATTAATAATGAGAGGATTTTCCTTCAAACGTTTTTAAATGGGGTTGTTCCTGAGGCAGAATCAGAGTTTTAGAGCCTGCAGTTCCCCACTAATTCTATTCTCCTCAAATATTATCGAGGGTGTGGAAACAGGGCTGCCTGATTCTGGATGGTAACAAGAAATGGCCCTGTCATCACTGGGCACCTGCTTTGAGGAGGGCAGAAATAAGGCACCAACTCCTTGCATTCTGCCTTTCGTTTCTTCCCCTGGCTGATTGCTAAATGTCACAGAGGGACACACAGTGTTAATACTATTTGTTTAAAGGGGGATACACAAAAATGGGAGAGGCATGGTTTTCAAGACTCAGGTCATTTTTAGTTCCCATGGTTCATTTAAAACACAGTTTCTATTCTTTCTTACAAGTTTAAATTATGAACCTAAAATAATTAAAAAATAAATATTTATAAATAATTATAAGCACTGTAGCACTGTCCTCCCGTTGTTCATCAATTTGCTCGAGCAAGCACCAGTAAGGTCTTCCATTGTGAGACTTGTTGTTACTGTGTTTGGCATATCGAATACGTCACGGGTAGCTTGCCAGGCTTTGCCGTGCGAGCGAGATACTCTCAGTGGCTAGCCAGGCTCTGGAGAGGGGCGGAGGAATCAAACTCAGGTCGGCCAGGCTGGCCATGTGCAAGGCAAACGCCCTACTACTGTGCTATGGCTCTAGCCCAAATAATTAAAAATACCACTATATTTTTAAAACAATCATGCACTCATTTGTGGAGTATAGAAGAACATAGCATGAGACTGACACAAAAGGACAGTATATACAAGGGCCAGGAGGATTGCTCCTTAGCTAGAAGCCTGACTAATGAATGGAGGGGAGAAAGCAGCTGGAATAGAGAAGGGATCACTAAGAAATTGATGGCTAGAGGAGTCAGTAGAGATGGGAGATGTGTGCTGAAAGTAGATAATGGACCAAACATGATAACCTCTTAGTGCCTGTATTGCAAACCATAATGCTCCAAAGTAGAGAGAGGGCATGGGTAATATTATCTGCCAAAGAGGCAGGGGAGGGTGGGTAAGGGGGTATACTCGGGAGATTGGTGGTGGGAAGTGCACTGGTGGAGGAATGGGTGTTTGATTAATGTTTGATTGCAATCCAAACATGAAAGCTTGTAACTATCTCACAACGATTCTATAAAATTTGAAAAAATAATAATAAAAACATTTTTAAGTGAGTCTAAATAAAAAAAAGTAAGTCCAGATCACCTACAGCACACAGAGATGTATAAAACAGATATAGAACCACCCCACTAGAAAACGCATTGGAAATTTTTCCTAGAGTTTCACATGCAACTTCTTCCATAATATCCAGATTTACCTTTGGATTATTATATGTGATAAATACAAACATATCCTGAAAACACTCAAAGATTAATGTTAATAGCAAATTTATTCTGTGTGAACACTATACAAAAATAGACTTTTACCTATATGTATATGTGCATAGATATAGACCATGAAAATAAATGATGGTTCAGTTATAATATTCAACTTTAAAGAGTGAGAATGTGGTATCTGAAAGGCAATGATAAAATTTCTGAATACTGTCTACATTTTGATTGAGTTAGGCCACATGAATATTTCCTGACATCTTCCAAGTCTGCTGAGGATTGCTGCCTTGATTTCCATCCTCCTCGGGAACATCCTGCAAAGCTCTCTGCAGAATTAATTTGAGGCTCCTTCTTTGCTGTCTTTGCTGCTGTCTATAAGAGCCAACAAAGAAGTAAATGATGGGATTGGCACAGCTGTTGACAGAGGTTAATACATTAGTTGCTACAAGTAATTTAAAGTTGTCCTTGTAAGACAAAGTTGGCATCCTGCATATGAGAAAATAACTGATTCCCCATGGCAGGCCACAGAGCAGGAAGACCAGCACATTTAACCCGATGGTCACATACAGCCTGGTCAGCTTCATCTTCTGGGAGCCACACAACAATCTGATCAGCAGAACCAGGTTGCACCCGAAAAGAAGCGTAAAGCAGAAAGTCAACAATGTTGCAATGCTGAAATCAATCAGTCTACACAAATATTCATCAAAAGGATAAGACAATAAGCCACAGAATGCCATTTTCAGGATGGTCAGGAGCAGGGACAGGGCCCAGAGCAGGGCACATATGACAGATGACATATGTTTTGGGCGTTGGCAACGAAACCAGATGGGCTTTAGGACACACAGGCAGCGCTCAGTGCTGATGGCAGTGAGAATGCTCAGGCTTGCAACATAGGGAAAGACATATCCTACCATAAAAACTCGTAACAGGTTGGTGCTGTATACTAGTTTGCTATATTTGAAAAAATCCATTATGGAGGATACCATGTGGGTGCATAGACAGACAAAATCAGCTCCTGCCAAGTTGAGGATATAGACGGAGAAAGCATTCCTCTGCATGCAGAAAGCCAGGAGCCAGAACACCACAGCATTTCCTGCCAGCCCCACAAGGGAAATAGAGAGTTCCACAACGGCTGAGATCAGCAAAGGCATTTCCATTTGTCTATAAAAGTTCATCCAGTCAATTAGATCCTGCCATATGTTTTCATTCACCCAAGGTGTGACAGTTGCATTCATGCTCAGATACTCTCTGCTGGTGTTCCTGAAAACACAAATGAGAAAGAATTTTCAGTATGATCATAGATCCCCATGACCATACAGGTATCTGAGACCAGAGACAAGCAACTTAGACAGTTTAAGCAGGCCACACAGTTTTGACATGCTATATTTAGACTCTGCCTGATCTTTCTGAAAAGCCTGAGATTTCTCTATGAATCGCAACTTTTCACAAACATGTAATGTTCTCAGGTTCTAATTTTCCCACCAGTTTCCTAGGCCATGTCCCGTCACACAGTGTCTGGAGGGGAGTTTTCTGGGCAGGATGTCATGGTGGCAATGGGACTCTGAAGCCACCTCCTTCTTCTCTGGGATTTCTTTTCTTCAGAGGCACGAACTATATGATTTCTCAATGACTGAACATGACCCACTCACAGAAAATAGGATCCCAGGATATGAAGTAATAAGACTCTGAAGTAGAAGGTCTATTAGGCCCATATGTCAGCTCTCTGAAAACAGCGATCTCTTATTCATGTTCATTAATGTATCCCAATGCCTCCATTTGTCAGGGTCACAGTGGGTCATTAGGATATGGATAAAAAATGAGTGATGGATGGTTGGAACTAACCACAAGTGTGTGTGTAGAGATGAGGGTAGGTAAGAGAAGAGGCTACTATGAAAATTATAGCTGGGAATGATCATGCTGGACAAGATTGGCAAGATTGGATGGTTAAAAGTAGGTAAGGGATATTCTTCATAACCTTTCAGTATCAATATTGCAAACCACAATGCCAAAAAGGAAAGAGAGAGACAGAGACCGAGACAGAGAGAAAGAGAGAGAAGAATGGATGAAAAATTGGGGAAAGGGGTGGGAAGGAAACTGAGACCATTGGTGGTGGGAAAAGTACACTGGTGAAGTGATTGGTGTTGGAATACTGTATAACAGAAATCTAATCATAAATAACTTTGTAATTCTCTAAAAAATAAAAAATAAAATATGAAAAAGAAATGAAAGAAAAAATATTAAAAAACAGATATGTGAAGAAGTATCTTTACTCATCTTTATTTGTAAAGATTTGTGTCTGAGAGTATTTATTAAACATGCACAATGACCAGTTTTGTCTTCTGTGAGATTAAAAGACAAGATAATCTAGTAGGCACTTGCTAATAATAAAGGATATTCTTTATCATAATAAATAAAAACTTAATGAAATTTTAATATTTTACTATGGAAAAAGGCATTCATGCAATGGAAGAGAGTCAGCTGTGGGGCTGAATGAGAGACTTCATTATTTATTTAATCTATTACTTATGAAAGCACAGAATAGAGATAATATTTTCAATATTTTAGTATGCAATTCTATAGATAATTCTTTGAAGAATGGGGTGGGATATTGATTTTTAGGTTTTTTTTTAAAGTTGTGGTACACCAGGTGATTCTCAGGGGTTACTCCTGGCAATTTATACAGAAATTACTCCTCGACATGCTCGGAGGACCATATGGGATGCTGGGGATGAAACCTAGGTTGGACTCATGGAAAGCAGATAGCTACTGTGTACTATCATTGGGAACCATGAAGATTGGTTATTGGTCAAGTGCATTTTACCAGAGTGACTTGCGATTTAAGCACAAATGCTCATTTGAACTTAAGCTTGGAAAGTTGGCAAATCAAGAAGAGCTTCTGGCTTAGTGCTATTCAGGAAAAAACCTCCTTCTGGGTCTTCTTAAGAAAAAATTGAGTTAACAAAACAAAACTGGTGACTCTGAGGAGAGCTGAGCAGAGGGCCTTTTTGATCAAGGGATGACACTGAGATCCAGCAGGTGGATGTGGCGAGTGAGTGTCCTATGTAAAGGTATAAAATTAATCCTTAAATTTTATACATAAGTAATTGACATCATTCAAACCTAATGTAAAAAGAATGAAAATGCTAATACTATCATTTTTATATAGAGTAAAGAAAATGGAAGACAAAGGGTTTGAGTGGTAGGTACCTGATTCCATGCATACAATTGTTATAATGTGTTCTGAATATCCAGATCTGAGTCAATTTCTTTTCCTTTACCAAATCTACAGGTCCACTTGTAAAATGAATTTCTACTTAAAGAGAAGTGAGAGAATGATGCCAGTAACTCTTCTACAGATCCCAGGAGGAATATTTTGATTTGGTATTTTTTGCACAGCCTGGGTTATATAATTTCAAATGTCCCTTACTACTAGGAAATACAACCTTTGTTCTACGAAGCAGAAGACTCAAATGGTAGGAAGACACTCTTCTTCCCTACCCCAGCAGTGAAAAGAAGACGCATTTTCCTAGATATAATGAATAAACCATCAAATAGGTCTTGGGTCTTGCAGTCTTGGTGGACAGACAGAGGAGGTAAAATGCAAACCTATTTCCATCTATCAGAGCCCATGTCCTATTCATATCATTGAACAAAAATTTCCGTTGTGATAAGTGCTTGTCTTTTTTGCCTTTTGACAAAAACCTTAGAAACTCAAAGCTTCTTCATTTTGTTGTGGCTTACAATATGCTCATTTTTATAATATCATGTAGCACTATTCACTTTGACTATAAATTGTAATAGCCTTACAAACACAGAAGAAGACAAATTATGGAGAATAAACGAGTTGGGATCTGGGTAGATCAACATAGGCCCTGGTTCAGGAGTCACACCTAAGGAATTCCAGGTTTTCTGGCACATCATTTATAATGAGAGGAGCTTTCATAAAAAAGTCTCTGAAGAGGTAGTTTCTGAGAAGGAATCAGTGTTATAGATTCTCCTCAGAAAGACTACTGAGGGTGTGGGAACAGGACTGCCTGATTCTCCATGGTACCAAGCAACCGGGCCCTCTCAACACTAGGCACCCGATTTGAGAACGGCAGAGGTAAGGCACTGACTCCTTGCATTCTTCCTTTCTTTTCTTCCCATAGCTGGTTGCTACATGTCACAGAAGACCACACGGTGTTAATAAAATTCTCTAACTTTTTAATTTATTTTTTAAATTTGGAATACCCCAAAAGGGAGAAGCATTAGTTCTCAAGACTTAAGTCAGTTTTAGCTATTGTAGTTAATTTAAACCACATTTGTTATTCTTTCTTCAAAAATCAAAATCACGAACACAAACTAATTATAAATATTTGCTTACCACAATATTTTCTAATAAAAGTCAGATCGTACTGGTTATGATTTTTGTAATGGTAAGAAATGAGAAATGGTAAATCATTCAAAAGAAATTATACAGGTGGAGATATTACAACCAAAAAAATAAAGCAAACAATTATATGGAATGTGGTGAATAAGTGATCCATCACCCAGAGAAATCCGAGAAACTACCATTTGACAAGCACAATGCAGAAGATAGAATATTCTGCCTTTATCACCAAATCCTATTTGCATATTCTCCATAGATTATGCATCCAGGAAAAATATGTCTGTCTCACAGATGGATTCTCATTTCCCATGACTCTGATGCATCCAGAGAAAAAAGACGTGAATAAATTGTAAGGAGAGCAACTTGAAATGCCTTCTCACTGCCAAATGATGCAAAATCACAGTTTGCAATGACTTAAATGCCAGGCTATGAGTTTGTAGTGACATAGGTAGGCAGTGAGCAAGGCAGACACACTAACTGCTGTCCTTTCTCCCTGGCCTCTGACTCTCTGTCCTTTCTTACCGTACTCATGTGGCTTCAAGTTTGAAGTTCATGGATGTGACTTAGGACAAAAACAAAGCAGTGCTTTGGAAATAAGCTTGTTAAAATTACCTGCTTTCCATCTTCCTTTGGGTAACAAGCTGACTCCTGTTGACAGGAAGAGTCTATAGAGATTCACCTTCGTTTTGAATCCTTCTCTGCCGCACAGAAGACACCTTAGAGTGGGAGTTGGTGAGAAGGAGGCTTATCAAGGTTACAAGGAGCTTCTGTGGGTTCCTGTTCAGAGACCTGCTGTTAAATGAGAGCACAAAGTCTTTGGTGTCATTGCCTCTCTGGGGGTGTCTCTCAACATTAGATCTGATAAAACCTCTATTTCAGTTTGTGCATTTCCACACCTATATGGTATTCTTCCTTGCAAATATTACTTGTGGATTGTCGCACTGACAGTCGTGTGCCTGGGCAACAACAGAAAGCAATTCAAGTTGGCTCTGTGAAGTTGTATTATTAGGTTTAAAATGCACTTTCCTCACCTGAGTCTCATTCTCTACTGGCTCCTTTAAATTTTGTGCTATCAAGGCAATAAGTTGTGTAGTTTTTATTTTTCCTTACAATTATTTACAGAAATAGTTCAACTTATATATGATCTATTGATTCTATTTCCAGAGCAGCAGTTTGTTCACTTTTGCATCTAAATTCTTTTGCTATGATTTCTGATTTGAAGAACATGTATGTTTCTTTTGATTTATCAATTGAATCTGGGAATCAGTTTTCTTCACATGGAAGATTTTAGGGTATAGCAGGAAATTTAGAATTTTCCAGGTGGTTGGGAATTAAATTTATTTGTGAATAATGTGCCAATAATTTCAAGTAAAAAATAGTTGGCAAAATAAACCAAGTATGGACAACCATAAATGATGCAAAATCACAGTTTTCAATGACTTAAATGCAAATTAAAATTACTCAGAATTGTATTCCCCCCCCCCCCGAAGATTAAGAGTTCAAAACATTTCTTCATCAGCTGTGGTGACAGTGTGGGATGATACATACTTATACATTTTTGATGGATGTGAAATTTGGCAGGATCACCAAAGTAGGGCAATTAAAAATATGTCTAAAGACATATAAATGTCATATATTTTCCTCCCTTAGTTGAGGAGTGGATGAAGAGTTCACTCTGGAAGTGTGCTCCAAGCACCACATGGAGCAAGGCCTTGGTACTTATAAAGACCACTAATGACTGGAGAAGAGAGAGTTCATACATTCTGGCCTACACTTCCTTTTCAAGGCAAAATTGGAATAGTGGCATTTGACCCAAAAGAGTTTCAAAAGGAACTGAGTTCCTCCATAAAGGGGGTTTGCACTCAGAAAAATTGTGATTTTTCAAGGGGGAAACTTCCTTAATTTATCTACTTACATCATATTCCCCTAGAGATTTCACCACCTTTAATCCTTAAAAGGGAAATGGTCAACGTTTCATTTTCTGGAGCCCTTTCATGCTGACACAGGGACTCTGACCCTGCCTGCACATGGGGTGAAACTCAGGTTACCTTAGTTTTTTTTTTTCTTTTTGCGTCACACCCGGCGATGCACAGGGGTTATTCCTGGCTCTGCGCTCAGGAATTACCCCTGGCGGTGCTCAGGGGACCATATGGGATGCTGGAAATCGAACCCGGGTCAGCCACGTGCAAGGCAAACACCCTACCCGCTGTGCCATTGCTCCAGCCCCAAGTTACCTTAGTTTTTAATGAGCCCCAAGCAATGAATTTGAAAGATTAGAACAGTTAGGCTAAAGAATGCTACTTTGAAATGACCAAACCTTCGAGGCAGAAAACAAATGACAAATGCTCAAATGATCAGGGTACAAAAACCAATCATCAATAGCATAGAAAGCACGGTTCTGAATTACTTCCTTCTTACTGCCCTGTTGATCCCTTTCGCAAATATTTCACTGAATTGGTTCAGGTGTTAGTAATTTTCTTTTTTTTTAATTTTTATTAGTGAAACACCATGAGGTACAGTTGTAGACTTACAAATTTTTGTGCTTGGGTCTCAGTTATACAATGATCCAGTATCCATCCCTCCACCAGTGCCCATTCTCCATCATTTACATTTTTAAAAAGTTTTTGTTAGTGAAACACCATGAGGTACAATTGTAGATTTACAAATATTTCTGCTTGGGTTTCAATTGTACAATTGTCAAACAACCAACCCTCCACCAGTGCCCTTTGTCCACCACCACGGGTCCCAATATCCCTTCCACCCCTCATCCCCCCCAGGTGTCAGTAATTTTCAACTTCCCTTTAGACACCTCATTCCAATGCCCATTCTTCCTCTTCTGCAGAGTGTCCTGGCTTAGAGGAAATATTCTCTAATAGGGTATTAATCTCATGGTGGAACAAGAATTGAGAGCTGTTTAAAATCTCTGTTTTCTCTTTTTTATATGCCAAACACAGTAACAACAAAGTCTCCAATGGAGACGTTACTGGGCCCGCTCGAGCAAATCGACGATCAATGGGAGGGCCTTTACCTTTACCTTTATTAACAAAGAATGAATACTTAGAACCAGTTTATATGTCCACTCTCAGTACTTTAGCCAATTGACAGGCTGGGGGAAAGCAATTGATCCTGCCCGTTGGGCTAAGTTTACCCCTGGTAAAGCTCTGCCTTCAGCATTTCTGGCCAAACTGGTGGAAGCATGTTCAATATTAAGTTTCTTTATAGACTAGACAAATTACTTACTAAATTACCCAATTATTCAATCACCTTTGTAGAACTAGAATCTGATTCTTATAGAAAGCAAGTTACAGAAACATAGTTCTCTCTCCTCCTTCATCTTAAATTTGCCAGATGGCTTAACAAACCTGGCTCGTTCTTCTGCATAAGCACAGCAAGGTAGAAGAACTCTCCATGTGGGCTACCCCGATACTCAGTGAAAAGTCCGGGGGATTGGTCAAAGACAGAGCAGGAGAATTGCCAATAACGGCGTTTAATGTTTTACCTCACGTCAGGGCTACTTCAGGCTCGGCCATCAGATGTGAAGATCGGGGCCCCATGATGAACTAGAGTTAGAGCCCTCAGATTGAACTGGATGTGTTCTCTGACCTCCTGCCCTCGGTAGGAGTGTCCTAGCAGTCAGGAATCCACCCCATCCCTTCTTCAGAGCTGTGAGAGATCTCATCTCCAGTTTTGGACACTGAAGGCGGGCCCAGGCTGAGTCAATCATTGCAGATTTCCAGCTTTCTCATTTTCCATGGCATAGATGATATCCATTCCTTCCTTAAGTGGGTCTGCCTTTAGGGTCTCCCTGAGGTTTGTAGGGTACTTGAAACAGTAACTGTTAAATGCCTGCTCCCATCACTTAGACCAGTCCCCTGACTCTTTCCCTGGAAGAAGGCTTTTGGGGTCCCATAGCTGGTTTTCCTGTCTGAACCAGGGATAGACCCTATTGCAGAGAGAAAAGGCCTTTGTCTGTGTCTATGCAAATAGACATAATGCCTTAATACTTCACAGCAGGGAGGGGAGAAAAGCAAATATCCCAACCTACTGGTGCCTACTCAAGCAAATCGATGAACAACGGGAGGACGGTGCTACAGTGCTACTCATTTAGATCCATGTTGAAAATCTTGATTTCCAATTATATAAGAGAACTGTAACAGGAGTCTGGATACTAGAAGAATTCTGCAGAAAATTTAAAGAATTTCTTATAACAATACAGTTTGCTCACAGTTTTCTTAATACAGCTTGATCTACCAAGAAATTTAAAAAGAAGTTGCTAATCATTATCTCATTTATCATGACTAAACTATACTCTGCAGTACTCTTTCAAAAACATTACATTATTTTTTAGATATTCAGAAGGTTTACAATACAATTAAAGAACTTATAACCTATATCACTTTACGTTAGAAACCTTATCTTTAGAATTCCAATTTCTAGGGAAACAGATATAAAAACTTAAAACACTCACAGAAAACAGGATAGTTATTTCTCATTTGGGTATCACCTGCAGTTTCTGGGGCGACTCAGAGCTGTGTGCCTTACTCACACACTTCTCCATCTTCAGAAACCACTAAAGCCAAATGGGCTGCCTGCAGCGGCTTGAATTTCAAAAGTGAGTCTTTTTTTTTTTTCAGTAAAAGAAAGTTGGTCTGAAAACTCAGTAAGAAAGGCCGATATCTTTAACTTTTATCAAGGCACAATTGTGTCATTTTGGTAGTTCCTGAAATTTAGGTTGCCAACTATCTCAGAAATCAAATAAAACATTGCTAGGGTATAAATTTTGCAACTAATTCTATAACTTTAGAAACCCACATTTTAACCCAGTACTCTTTAAACTTGCTTTCATGTGCTACATTAATTTCAACTCACATTCTAATAATCCAATGCAAATACAAATATATATCAATGTAACAGCATAAGAAAACCCTCAAACCATCAATTTTATGAGACATAAGATAAGCTTCTTTGGATTAATTTTAAAAGTTCTTAGCTATCTAAAATCATAATATTTTTACACCAGACACTTTAACAATGTCACAATTCTAACATGCTTTCAGTCACAGTAAGACACCATTGGTACTCACCAAACTTTTAAATAGCAGCATTAGAAAACAGTTGGACTGTCAATTTTTATGAAAGCACAAAAAACTTTGTTTTGATGTAGCCTAATTTTATGTTTGCACTGTTTCAAAAGACTCTTGTTTTTGTTTTTGTTTTGTTTTTGAACCAGGCAGGGGTCTCTCAACCAGTTCCTGCCAGACCAGGATGTAAGGTGTCTGGTCTGGGTGTCCTCCTGGAACTGGAAAGAAACTTTAACTCTTCAGAATGGTCCCCAGATCAAAAATATCTTCTGCTAGCCAGCTGATATTGAAGGCTGACCATTCTGCAGAACAAAGAGTTACCAGTTTACCTCTCTTCACCTCTACTGAGAGGTTGCTGCCCCTGGACCTGAAATAGCTGAAATGGTCAGTCTCAAAGGAAAGTGGGGTCCACTGATTCTGACCCATGACTATATGGTGCGTTAGGGAGCCAAAGACAAAAAGACTCACTAGAAATAGGATAAACAGACAGCACAAAAATACAACACTCAAACGACAGATACATAATGGCCGTAAAAGACTTCCTGAAAATGTGCTCTCTAGATCTAGATTCAGATTCAGGCACCCCGAAAGTTTCCTTACCAAACAGCTTCCACTGTTCTCAGGAGTTTCAGGAGTAGTGGG